TTGGCAAGAGTGGTTTCCCGCAAAGATATATAACAATCTACTGTGTTTTTACAGAGGAGTTAAGTACTATTATCTGGAAAGCATATTAAGATTGATGAATTATATATTCTGTCTTGTGGCGCGAAGCAAATAAACGCAAAAAAGGGTAATTTTGTCAAAACTGATTATGCGATTCAGATAAGAGGACGAATAACCAGGGTGACAACTCCTCCGCAAACCGTAGTGTATCAACACTCTAATTTGAGAGATCTGCCATCTAGTGAATAAAATAAAATGAAATCATAAAAGAGTATAAACTAGTTTATTTTTCTGCCATCTAGTGAATAAAATAAAATGAAATCATAAAAGAGTATAAACTAGTTTATTTTGAGCTTGATAGAAGTAATAATAACTTCAACACCGTGTAACAATCAACTATACTACAACTGGACGTTATATATATTCTGTTTGAGTAAACAACTACGTACAGTACCGCGTGAGTAATGGTACTAAAAGAAAGCGCATATATAGTTGATTAACAATTTATCGCATTACATTGGATATGCGATAATTTTATTAGGTATGCCAATGGGGGTCAGTATAGTTTACTGATATTGGCCAAAAAATAGTGAGTTAACTGACAAATAACCTAAAATTAGTAGTTAACTGATATTAACTGGTTAATATCATGGCCAGCGCTCGAAATCTTTTACAGTTAACCGGCATTAGGCCGAAAAATTAGTAGTGCCTGACAAGTGGGAACCCCCAAATTGGCACCCTCATGGACTCCTACTTATATATACATTAATTTCGAATCATGATCTGTTCTTAGAAAAACGATGTCACCAACTCAAAAATTAACTAAACCAGCCCAAGAAAAACTAAAACAAGTCGCTCTTAATACAGTACTGACCACAGTATAATGTTAATGAGTTTATACCGCAAGCCAAGCGATTCCATCAAGATTGGGTAGAATTCTAGAATGCATTATGATTGTAGACRGAACGTCTTCAAAATACACTATTATTCATGCTCCAATTGTAAAGTTGTTTGGAATCAAAATGATTATAAGACTTCTTCTCAGCTCCGGCGCGAGTGGGCAATTTGCCTCCATTGCCTTTTAATTGTTTCCTCTYGGATTCCCGGGGTGGGTCTCAATTAGTTTGTGACTAAAGGAAAGTTTGTTGACTGWGGTCTTGTTTTTGTGGCTGTGTACTTTGTGCCAAGACGGTAGTGAGCTACATTATGGTTGTCAGAGTTTCTTTCCTTCCCTTCCTCTMAAAGTGTCTAGCTCATCCAATCAGAACGCATCATTGATGATAGAACAATAATTGAAGATATTCAACTAACATAGAATATGTAAGAACCCTTCGAACGAAGTCTGAGGGCCGGGTTGTTCAAAGCTGGATTAGCGCTAATCCAGGATTAACTCTATAGGTCTTATTAAGAGTTAACCCAYCCATTCCCAAGTCTCTTAACAGTGTCTCGACTAGAAAATGAAAATACAGTATCCCTTTGCAGAAAATTCTACTTTAAATCTTAAGTGCGTTTTTYCCCAACTATAGTCAATAAAATAGTTAGCAAAGACTCAAAGTCTCCGATACTAATTTTGTGGCGGTGCGTCGYGATGCATGGAGACATAACGGCAACTGACATTCATCCATGGGTGACCCTCAGTGGAAAGTGATCGGAAACCCGTTCACCTCTACCTACACTACCCTTATTACCCTTATCCTGCAAAACCCAATCACTTCACAAATGATTTTAAACTGGCCACCCTCGCTAACAATTTTACTCTAAATCAAATGTATGAAAGTCAAGATGCTAATGCATGCTTTAGTGCATAGTCAGCAGACCACATCTGAATAAAAATAACCACATGAATGAACTGACCCATCCTGGCATTGACTTGATTGATGGATGCCGACAATATGGCCACAGTTGAAGGACAATCTTCCGGCATTTTCTTTTATGAATTGTCTCGAGGTAATGATAGTAACC